CATAAATTGAGAACTTCATTGTTTGTATCGTCCTCAGAGCTCAGGAAATATAGAGAGGGTAAATAGAACCTTAAAATAGATTAAATAAAAATATACTCTTGAAACTGGGGGTAACTGAGTTGACCTCTTGCTTTATGCCCCCTTTAATCCCTACTGAGAAAAGTTCACCCCACACAAAATAGTCTATGGACAGCCACCTCCCATGACATGCTAGACTGTTATCAGATTGCCCCCACTCCAAACTCTGAGTTCCTAAAAGGATTGCAATTAACCTTGGATAAGGATTCCTTGTGTTCAGATTGCTCAACCTGTTGGGTACTACCCACCTGACCAGAGATGCAGTATTAGACTGTCACATTAACTGAAGCTTGAGAAAGGAGACCTCTAAGTCCTCCCACACAGTGATACACTTCCCCCAACAAAATCCACACCTACTTCAACAAGGCCACATCTTCTAGTAGTGTCACCCTCTTTGGGGGCCATTTTCTTTCAAGCCGCCATAGTCATTCAGTAGGTTTTGGGTGCTTGTTATCGTTCAGGGGGATTGGTTACAAGCTGTTATTGGTAATGGTCAGGAAAAAAGCTGAATAAAGGAGATTAGATTTAGGCATCTTTTTCTGAAGAGAAAAAGAGGGATAAAGTATACAAATGGTGGGATAAAAGGGTAGATTGCTGAGTCTACTTTTGAACAAATACTAATCTCGGACATTTTACATTGGTATGGATTTTGTATATTGATACCAATTTAAGGTTATTTTGTTATACTATATACAAGTTTCTACTCTTGTTTAAGGTATTGTACTTACATAGGTCATTTTAAAATGTAATGTAAAGTTCAAGTCCTTAAAAGCCATTACTATAAACCATTTGGGATAACTAAGAAATGCAAGCTAGTAGTTAGTTATCTATAACAATTAAACTTGTAGTCATGTTTGGTATGTTTTCTTTTTTTTTCTTTTAAAGATTTATTTATTTATTATGTATACAGTGTTCTACCTGAATGTCAGAAGAGGGCACCAGATCTCATTATAGATGGTTGTGAGCCACCATGTGGTTGCTGGGAATTGAACTCAGAACCTTTAGAAGAGCAGCCAGTGCTCTTAACCTCTAAGCCATCTCTCCAGCCCATTCAGTATGTTTTCAAGATCATACAAAATATATTTTAGATATATAGTAGGCTTTCAAACACTTCAAAGATCTACAGAATATGGTATTTGAAATGTTTTGTTAACCTGGGGCTTTTCATAACAGTGAGGCATGACTGATCCTGGCAGCACCAATTTACTTCAGATAAGATGATGGGCATTAAAAAAACCCTCCATATCAAATTTGCTTTTAATGTGGTAAAACTAGCCACTTGGGCAAGAAGCTGCCCTTTTCTTAGCTGCTGACAGTATACTGTACAAACTGGACAAGCAGGACACAAAGAAAAAGTACTACTGAACTTTGACTAAACAAGATTAGACAGTTCTTCAAAACTCCAGCTTCACAGAAAAGTCTGTTAGATAGTCTTGGCCTGTAGGTTAAAGATGGATGTCCTAATGTCACAGAGGAACCTTGGGTGACTGTCCAGGCAGCCAGTTGTCTCCTATACTTAGACTTGGGAGAGAAAAGAAAAAGGATAGAGAAAGTCCTTAAAAAAGAAATATAGTCAGACATGGTGGTTCACACCTTTAATCTCAGCACTTGGAAGGCAGAGGCAGGTGGATCTCTCTGAGTTCAAGGTCAGCATGGTCTATAGAGTGAGATCCAGAACAGCCAAAGAAAACAGAGAAACCCTGTCTCAAAAAACCAAAAAATAAAAATAAAAGAAATAGAGTTTTTAAAAAGCCACATAAAGATGGAAAATACACAATCTGGATACTGTATTAACATTATTGTGTTGTCTTTGAATTGTTTGTTGAGGAAGGAGTAACATCTGCTGAAAGACATTTGCTACTGGATTGGTCCAACCTATATATATTGAAAATGCTGGACTGAAGAGATGATTTAGTGGTTAAGAGCACTGGCTGCTCTTACAGAGGTCCTGAGTTCAATTCCCAGCAACCACATGGTGGCTCACAACCATCTGCAATGAGATCTGGTGTCATCCTCTGGCATTTGGGCATACATGGAGGCAGAATGTTGTATACATAATAAATAAATAAATCTCTAAAAAAATGCAATTAAAAAAAAGAAAATGCCTTGAATTCAAAATTTAAGTCAAAAGATGTTACTTTAGAGAAAACGTTTTGTTTTTGTTTCCACAGGAAATGAGAGGCTGTGGATTCATTCTGAGTTAGAAAAAAAAATCAGGTTTGATCAAGAGATACCCTCCTAAAAAAAAAATCTCTGATAGGAGCAGATGGCCCAGATGATTCAACATTTCAGAGCACCTCTGTTGTAGCTTCCTCTGAGTTCTACACCCAGAACAGTCACAAGACTGCTGGCTGAGATGATTCAGACTCACAGAATACTCTAGTCAGGACTTGACCATAATCCTAAATTTTCTTTGGGTTCTCATAAGATTATCAGCATCCCCAATCAGCAGGAAGTAGCCTAGAAAACTACACCCACATTCCCACAATATGAATTATGGATTTTTTTGTTTGTTTAGAGTGTTGGTTACAAGTTGTTGAGGATAATGGTCAAGAAAAAAGCTCAACAAAGGAGAGTAGATTCTGTAGTGGCATTTCAATTGTAATTTAGTAAATTAAGCTTGCCTGAAGATAAGAGTGTAAAACAGCTCCACTGGTCAGCCTTACAGACCAGGCCATGGTAACACACACCTTTAATCCCAGTAACCATGCTAGTTGCCATAGAAACCAGGTGGTGTATGCCTTTAATCCCAGTGGTGCACACCTTTAATTCCAGCCCTAGAGAGGATTATAAAATGGGAGGAAACAGCTCTCTGAGAGTCTCATTCTGAAATTTCTGGAGGCTGGATCACCATTTTCAGACTGGGTTGAGGTAAGAGCCAGTGACTGGTCGCTTTGCTTTCCAGATCTTCAGGTTGAACCCCCAATTTCTCACTCTGAGATTTTATTAACCATGCTTCAAGATTCAGAGCTCTTGTTTTGAAAAGAAAAAAGGGGAAGTGCTGTGGGATAATGCTCTTGTACCCTGTAAAGATTTATCAGTTTTATTGGTTTATTAAAATGCTGATTGACCAGTAGCCAGGCAGGAAGTATAGGCAGTGTGATCAATCTAGGGGAATTCTGGGATGAAGAAAGACTCAGTCTGTAGTCACCAGTCAGATACAGAGGAAACAAGATGAAAATGCCTCATTGAGTAAGGCATTAAGCCACGTGGATAAACATAGATAAAAATTATGGATTAATTTAAGTTGTAAGAGATAATAATAAACATGAGATAATAGGCCAACCAGCTTATAATTAATATAAGCCTCTGTTTGTTTTATGTTTTGAATGGTTGTGGGACTGGGCAGGACAGAAGCTTCTGTTTATAGTGGCCTGCACTGCACTTCCTGTTTACTCAGGCAATATTATATCCTTCTGGATTCTTTGATGGAGTTGGAAGACCAAGTAGTTATAGTTGTATTTTTCCTTAGTCATGATAGAAATTTAATTAGGTAAAAAGCTTTGGACTCACCAAGGTAGGATAAAAACAGAACATTTTCTTTAAATCTGCCAATTATGACTGGATCAGATATTGTAAATGCAATCCTTACTCGATAACTGTTCTTATTGTACATATTTTACTATGCTAGAGTTATTTTTCTTTTTATTTAGACAAAAGGGAGAAATGTTGTGGAATGTTTTTTATTCACTGTGAATATGTGTCACTCTGATTGGTTTAACAAAAAGCTAAACAGCCAATAGCTAGGCAGGGTTCTTGGGACAGAGAGAATATTAGGAAGCAGGATGGTGTCAGGAGTAGATACCATGAGCTACAGAGCAAGCAGGATGGGCAGTACATAGATGAGATAAACAAAGTTCAGGACCGCACATAGATGAATAAAAATGGGTTAGTTAAGTCATAAGAGCTAGCTAAAAATAAGCCTAAGCTATTGGCTGACCTTTCATAATTAGGATGTCCCTGATTTGGGAGATGGCAGGAGGGACAGAAAAATCTGCCTACAGCGTCATCTTTCTTTGATTCAGTATTTTACAGCCTGGCACACCTGGTACTTTATGTTTAAGTCTGTCTTTTTTTTTTCTTTTGAGATTGTGTCTCTTTCTGTAGATTGGGCTGGCCTGAAACCCAACAAGTGGCACAAGTTGTCCTTAGCCCCCAGGAATCCATTGGCTTCATCTTCAGGTGTACACAATCATCCAATTTCTTTTCATACTTCTGCCATAGCCTCCATAAAAATATGTTTTTGTTGTTTTAAGCCACTAAACTGTCAGTATGGGTGTAGCAGTAAGACAGTAAAGCCAGTTTTATTCATCAACCTAGCAGCCCCTCAAGAAATAGATCCCAGCCGACTCATGGACAACCTGGATTGGTGGACCATAGAGAAAACCAGCATCTTGCCCTGCTGCTGCTGTAGGTAGCAAGGTCCTGAGACCAACACTATGTAATATAAAGCATTTTCCTGGGTGGTTAATAGGACACCAAGTTTCCCAGTCTATAAAGTAAAGACATGACTGCTCCAAGGTATGGTTGAGTGGAAGCTCTTTATTATAAATATGAGAGACAGTGCAGACAGGCATGGGAAGAGTTCAGAGCAGGGAGGGAAAGTAGACTAATGACCAGTGAACTGAACCAGACCATAACGAGAAGGGGAGCAAGAGAATGGGGGCTAAGATAGCACCAAGAGAGAGAGGATCAAGAAGGCACATGGTCAAAATGGCAGGGTTATGGAGGAATGAGACGCTGGAGGAAGGCAAGTCCCTGAGTTGGAGTTTAGGGTAGGAGATGGGGTGAGAAGAGTTGAGAAGTGAGGTACTGAGTGAGCCTGGAGGCCAGCACGCTCTTTGGTATGTTCATAAGCACCATGGTTAGCCATTTGTCCTGAGTTCCTTTTAGATCCAACATCCCAGCTTTTTTGTTAATGATAAGGGGTGATGTAATCTCTTCTGTAACTGCTTCTTAGTGGAAATCAGGGTGTCATCGTCAGGGCCCAGGAAGGCTGGAATGCTGGTCAAAGGCCAGGGACAGGAGCGCAGGCTGGCAAACATCTGTTTCACTTCTGCCTTGGTTCTGTGGGACTGCTTGGGGCTAGGAAGTAGTCTGCTTTGGAGTAGTCTGGAAGTGCTGGTTCGAGTCAGGCGATCAGGCTGGTTGGAAGGTCTGTCAGAAGCATCTAGTTTACATCAGTCCAGGACTAGCTGGTTTTGATTAGGAGTGTTTTGCAGTCTTCTTTGGAAATCTATTTGGATAGATACAGGCTAGTGTCAGAAGGTAAAGTTAAGGAACTAAGGGGAAAATATTTACCTTGGTGTACTCTTGAAACTTCCAGGCCTGAGGCCCTAGTCACAAGACTAGGGGAAGGAGAGAGACAGAGAGAGAGAGAGAGAGAGAGAGAGAGAGAGAGAGAGAGAGAGAGAGAGAGAACACACTCTCCAGAACAGGCAGAAGGTGGGAAGCTTAGACTGTTGGTTGACAGGAGTATCTATCTGGAACCTGTTTGACCAATGACAGGCAGAGTCAAAGTCAGGACTCCCTGAAGTTGACATGAATTTTTCAAATTTACAAAAAAAGAGATAAAAGTTTTTAAAATATTATCACTACCACTGTTTGTAAACTATACTGAAATTTACACTGCAGAAAATTCACAGACTCCTGCCTTTAAATCTTGTGACCATGATTCTAGTAGGCAATGCTTTGCCAGCGCTAGATTAATAGTTTATCAGAACTTCACTGATTAATGTTAAATCTCTGAAATTTTGAAGTCTTTTTTTTTTACAACAATAGCATCGGAAGAAGAAAGTAAATCTAAAACAGTTCTAATTTCTCACACACCTTAAATCACCCCCTCAGACATTTATATCTTGCATTTGTATGTCTTAAATCACTTTCTTAGACCCTCTTAACTTACTTAAGCTTTTACATCCTCAGACCTTTACAATTTACATTTACATACCTTAAATTATATAAACATCAAAGATTTTCTCTTTCCATCCATAGTTTACTATGAGACACCAGTGATTAGTGAGAGTAGCCACTGTAAAACAAGTTCCTTTCAATAAAGGAATAGTAAAAAGTTACATTGAAACCTGCTTTGTGAGTTTATCTCTTTTACAGTGAAGTCAGCCAGCAAGATAAACTGTCTGTGAGTCTGATTTTTATATATGAAATAGACTGATCAGACAATTGCAGCCTTGTGGGAGGAGCTGGGTGCTTGTTGTTGTCAAACTGATAAAGCTAAAATTAGCCATCAACATCATCAGTGAGCTGAGAAGGATACATTAGAGTACGAAGTATAACCCAAATGGTTTCTGTATCACTTAAAATGACAGAGACTCACCCACTACCCGGAGAGTTACCCTAGGTTCCCCTGTGGCACACAGGACAGCATTAATTCCTCAACTGCCAAACCTAGAATGTCTGAGACATTTTTCTGTGGAGGAGGAACTTGGGAAAACTGAAACAGAAGGGCTGTCAATCTAACAGTGGCCACAGCCTGGTAAACTGGAGAGGCTTTTGGGAAAAGGGAGGGTTTCAACAGAGGAAGAGGGGCAACTCTCTTAGCACTGAGATGCCCATGTGGTGAGTACCCAAGAGGGCACAGCAGGCCCCAGGAGCAAGAGACTGAGAAGAAGCTTACTGAGTAGGCAAGGAGAGACAAATAGAGTAAGGGTAAGGAAGAAGCAGCTGAAGAGGTGAACTCTAGAACTGAGGTCAACCACGGGGGCTGGCAGAGGCCAGCAGAAACAAAGGATCCAGAGCTACATACCTTAGGGAAGTCAAGTCAGTTAGGAAAAGCCAAGCCCCTTGGAAGGGCTCATATCTGCTCCTCCTGGGTTTCAGGCACAGATGTAAAAAGTGAGGACATGCCTACTCCAATTACAGTGGGGGTTGGTTTTTATTGTAGGCACGAGGGAGAGTACAGCTAGAGGCATCTGGAAGAGTCCAGAGCAAAGAGAGAAAGTAGAAGACTAAACATGGCCAGCAGACTGAACTGGGCCATGAGAAGAAGGGGTGGGAAGAAAGAAAGAGAAGAAAGGACCAAGAAAGAGGGGGCAAGAGAATGCCAACAGAGTGATAACCAAGAAGGAACATGGCTGAATGACAGGGTTCTATAGAAATGAGAAGCTGGAAAGGGAGAGCCCATGAGCTGAAGAAGTTTAGAGTAGGGAGCTGGCTGAGAAGAACCACAGGAAGTGAGTGGGCGTGGAGGCCAGCATGCTCTTTGGTATGCTCAGAGGCATCATGGTTAGCCATTTGTTCTGAGTTAGCCATTTGTTCTGTGGACCCAGACACACAGGATTTGCCTTCAGTTAACCCATCACTTACTCCTAAGAAGAGACACCACCAGGTTGCTGCTTACAGATGTCACCTACGCAGCCAATAACAGAAAACAGCAATAACAGCCAAGACTGGGAGAACAGTTAGTGAGAACAGCCGATTTCTTTGATCTAAAAGTGAAAAAAAAAGAAAGAATTTTTTTCATCAAGAGCAGACATTTTTTTTTTTTTCTGGTAGTCTATGATAAAGAACAAAATGGAGAAGCCAACAGTCTTCTTCCTGGATGGGAGGGGCCTGATGAACAGGTCAAACACAGGTGGAACTGGGTCATTTTTTGTCAACTTGACATAAGTTAGGGTGACCTAGGGAATGTTGATTGAGAAAATGCCTATATCAGATTGTCTATAGGCAAGTCAGTGGGGCATTTTCTTGATTGCTAATCAAAAGAGGAGGGTCACCCTGGGTAGTACCACTCCTGAGCAGTCTAAGAAAGCAAACTGAGCAAGCCTCGAGGAGCAAGCCACAAGGAGCAAGCCACGAGGAGCAAGCCTCGAGGAGCAAGCCATGAAGCATTTCTTCATGGCCTCTGCTTCAGTTCCCACCCACATCCTTTCATAGTGAATTGTAAGTTGTAAGCAAATAAAATGAGTCCTTTCCTTACTAAGTTGCTAGGTCAGCATTTTATCACAGTGATGTAAAGCAGACTCACACAGGCAGGAGGGGAGGCCACCATGTTGCCTGGCACTCCCGGGAGCAGAAGGGACTGGCCTTGTGTTCCAACAGGAAGGAGACATTCCTATTCCCAAGAGTTTGTTGACTATTTTACAGTTGGGTAAAACACACATCACACGAAACTTTCAGAACACAGTTGATCAATCCGAGGTGTCTTTACGTGACTGTGCGGCCATCTCCACAGCAGTCTCTAGAACTTTCTCATCTCCCCTCACTGATCTCTGTCCCCAGTGGACACTAACCACCCAGCCTTGTCCCTGACTGTGGTTCTCCATGTTCTCTATTTCATGTCTGTCAGCTTGTTGCTCCAGGACTGCCTGGGAGTACAATCACATTTGCCCCTAGGGCCAGGCTTATTTCACTTAGCACACTGTCTCCAAGGCTTATTAAACGGCTGTGTCAGAGCGTCTGTGCTTTTCAAGAGTGAATGCTATTCCATTGACCACACCATACATTTGTTAGTTCATGTATCTACCCGCGGACCCTGGGTTCCTTCCCACCCATGGGATGTTGACACTCACAAGTATACAGTGCTGAAACTATAGGCCAGGGCCAATGTGTCCCAGTTGGATTTTACTGTTTTTTTTGTTTTGTTTTTTGAGTCCTGGGGGTTGAATTTAGGGATTGATGCATGCCAGGAAAATGCTTTACCACTGAGCTTCAGCCAAGTCTTAATTTTTGCATATATTGTTAAATAAGGTCCAACTTCATTCTTCCCCACATGGATGTCCATTTGCCAGCATTACTTGTGGAAGAGGCTGCCTCTTCCCTACTGGATTTTCGGCTCAAGGGTCTAATTACCGTAAAGAATTACTAAAAATTCCACTAACACATGAATGGAGACAATGTGAGTTGTACATGATGATTCAGGCATGAAAAGGAATGAGGCTCTGACAGCTTCAACCTAGATCAGCCTTAAAACATGCTGCTCAGGTGGCTGGAGAGATGGTTCAGTCGTTAAGAGCACTGGCTGCTCTTGCAGAGGACCCAGGATCAGTTCCCAGCATGCATATGGTGGTTCTTAACCATCTGTAACTCCAGTTCCAGGGAATCTGTCACCTCTTCTACACATAAGGAGCACAGACATACATGTAGCAAAACACCCATACACATAAAATATTTTACAAGGAAACATGATGGCCAGGGACCCAGGCACAGAAGCTACACATGGTGACACTACCTCTTTGAGCAGTCTAGACTGGCCAAGCCACTAAGGCAGATTGGCCTGGGAGAGTCAGGGTCTGACAGAGACAGAGATTCCTTTAAGGGGATGAGTGTTTCGCAACAGATGGAGGGCTGGTGCTCAGTGTTATTTTGATATCTGCTTTGAAACAGTTAACGCTGTGCTGTGTGGACTGTCATTCACTAAGAAAATAGTCATGGTGACTAAGCATGAATCTGTCTTACCTGTCCTAGTCGAACTGCACACCGTGTTCGCTGTGGGGCTGCATTCCCGGAGGACAGGAACTCCCTGGGGACACCTGCAAAGAGACACCCTCAGTTCTTCCTGCCAACCAGCATCAAAGGATGCCCAGAAAGGCTTCATGCCTACTCCAAACCACATAGGCATCATCATGATCCAAGATCTGAAACAGGGCTCTGACCACACGGCTGCCACCAGCCCCACTGCATCTCAGACACTATTGTGTGATTTTCACTAAATATGACACAAAATTTGCTACATTTTCCTCTTCCATTGATTTCCATAGCCTCTTTGGTGGCCTTGGAGAGAGAAAAAGGACAGGCCTGCCCTATTGTCACCAGGGACTGATTTCAGATTCCCCAGTGTGACAACACTCCCCAGACCTGCTGCTTGTGCTGGCTCCCCCTAGTGGTTTGAAGATGCAACAACTCCATCTGATCCCACACAATTTAACCCAGACCTATATCTTCCTGGGAATGAATAAGGCTTTCCTCAGCCCTCCCAAATCCTGATACACTGAAGAACCCTCCTCGAAGATATCACTCAGGAAAACTGAGTCCCTTGGCTGGTGATATCTACTTTCTGTCTAGGGACATTAGCCTTGGATATGTCTAGCAATCCCTCAGGCCACAGAGTTCCCACCTCCCCTGACAAGGAATGACACAGACTGTCCCCTTTTCTGGACACTAGAGGTCACTCAAACGATGTATAAAGCCACCACCAACCCACACCACAGTGTTCTTACTTGCTACACGGGAGGCAGAGTTCAGGGGATTGAGGATCAGCATAGAAATGACCCATTCGACACTGGCATTGCCGGTCACTGGTGGCAGAGCAGTTGGCCAGCATTTCCTGGTCTGCAATCCAAGGAAGAGTAGGGTCTGGTCAAGGTGAGCATCCTCAAATATGCACACAGACCCCACCATCACCTGAGAGGAACAGCGTGTCCCGGCATGAGCCTTACCAGCCATCACAGATGTACTGAACATTAAAAAGCACTGCTATGAACATCCTCACACTCAGACCTCCAGGGTGGCCACCAGCTGAGGCAGATGATGGCCTGGGAGATTCACTATTCAGCATCCCATACCATAACCTCAAACATCTGTGAGGCCTCCATCACAGATGGTCCTGATCTGATCTGTACACCCACTGTTGCTCCATGAGGTTCCCCCTCCCCGGGGCCACCATCTCCATCTGACATCTCTGGTGTTGCCTTATTTAATTACCTCATTCTTTGCTGAAGAGCTCCTAGTGACCCTGTGTCCAGATCCCTGGTTGAATGGCCAGTAGCAGGGCAGGAGAAAAGATAGGCAGGGCTGATAAATAGAAAGAATAAATAGAAGGAGAACCCTGGGAGGAGGAAGAAGTAGCAAGAGAGATCCAGGAGCAAGAAAAGAAGGGGCCAGCCACCCAGCCAGTCATGAAGTGCAAGTAAGATGGTGCTCTGGGTGTGTACCTCTTAATGGAGACTGACTCGATGGCTTAGGAAAGGAGGTGACTTTCCCTCTGGGGTGTTCCATCTAAACCTGTGTCTACAGCTGAGCGCACCACAAGATCCGACCTGTGTCACCTCTCCCGGTGCTCTGAAGCTAGGCTGTGTCCATTCTCAGAGTTCAGCAGCGGGCACAAGCAGGGAGGTCTCTCAGACCTGCTCTCTGGAGGTGTCTTACAGCATCAGGGAATCTGTGATTATAGAATATGGTTCTGCCTGACTGCCTGTTTGTTTGAGATAATATTTCTCTATGTAATTCTGGCTGGCCTAGAGCTCACAACACAGGTCAGGCTGGCCACACACCAAAGTGACCTTTCTCTATCACCCATCTATCTATCTATCTATCTATCTATCTATCTATCTATCTATCTATC